ACTGGTTCCATCTAACTTATAACCAGTGGGTGTGTCTCCCAGACTTTACATTAGGTTGTTTTACAATAGATTGAAGTCTTAGATTTCATTCAGTGTTTTAAGTTTTCATTTCATGTCAAGAAACATAATGCGACATCAGGAACTCACCTTTCACAACAATGAAAATTCTTTTAAATCTTTAAATATTCCAAGAATGAGTCTTTAGCTGATATGACAATGTATCGAAGCTGAATTATTCTAAAATTCCACAGAACGCTTCCTAGTTTGGGGATTTCAACTGTGTCATCTTTGTCACATCACCACCCTTCCTGACTGGGTAGCAGCTGATGCATGTTTAAACACTACGAAGAACTATTGCCACACAGCATATAAATTACAATTTAACAAACAGTTTCATCCTGGCTGATAGAATAATCTGTCCAAGACTGTTGGGCATTTTCTCCTAAGTCCTGTGTTCTGCCAGCGCTGTCTAGGTGTGCGATCACTTACTCTTCAGAGACGACACACCTGTCATTAGGATACTTCCTTTCTGCCACACCCACTCTGTTTTCCTCTTAAAGTATTGGCAAAGAAATAATTATATTAACTAAAGCACAAGGATTTTGAGAAACAAATATGGCTACTGTTCATTTATGGCTTTTTCCCAATCACGCTGGTCTTTCTTTTTCCTTCCCATTGGCCCCCCAAAATTATTTGAAAGTCACAATAAATAAAGTGAACAGAACAATAACGATGTTAATATTTACTTTTCATATAATTATGTTTTATTACATCAATTAACTTTTAGGGGAAACATATTTAGAAGCAAGCATCTGTTGTTTAAAATGTTTCAAAGTCTGTTTTCAAAGTGATTCTTGTGTCATACAGCATTTATTTTACACTGACTTTTTATTACCCAAAACTTCTCACTTGAGTAAGAAAAGCAGTTCATCTGGAATATCACAACTATTATGCATCATTAATATCCTAATGCATTATTTATGGATGAATAATACCCTGAAATGACAAGTCACTGAAGATAAAATATTGCTCTATCATGTTCCATTATGAGAGGAAATACTTTTAATTAAAGTAATGCCACTGAAACTGGGGGAAGCGGGGAGAGCTCATGATATTGTTCTATACCAAGGTTCACCTTCCTGTTGCAAAAGCCTGATAAAATCAATTCTTGTTTTATACACACGGTGGATATGAACCCGTCTTAGAAATACAGAACCACTGAAGTATTGGGCTGAAAGAAACCTTAAAGACCCGCTTGCTTGCTCTGTTCTGTGTCCACAAATAGTAAGACCAGAAAACTATTTTTGTGGCACTCAGGTCATTAAACAATCCTTTTGTTTTCAATGAATTTTCTTTTCAAAGGAACCACCTTATGACTACTGACAAATGATTTGCCTAAGACTATTATTGGTCCCCTTTCTAACTTAATGTAAACTTGAGTTTGTGTGTGTGCCATGACCTACAGGGTATTATGCTAAGTGAAATAAGTCAGACAGACTAAGACAAATACAACATGTTTTCACTTATGTGGAATCTAAAGAACAAAATAAACAAACAAAACAGAAACAGACTCATGGATACAGGGAACAAACTGATGGTTGCCAGATGAGAGAGGGGGCTGGGGGGCTGAGTGAAAATGATGAAGGGGTTAGAAAGTATAGATTGGTAACCACAAAATAGTCCCAGAGATGTAAAGTACAGCACAGGGAATATAGTCAATAATATTATAATAACCAGTTACGGTGCCAGATGGGTACTAGACTTATTGAGGGATCATTTCATAAATTAGATAAATGCTAACCACTATGCTGTACACCTGACTCTAATATAAAATGTTGAATGTCAACTATAATTGAGAAATTTTGAAAACAATAAAGGAAATACCCAAGTTAGTTCTCTCTGAACGTGACTGGTTACTAAGAGCAAAAGTCCAACTTCTCAATTCTAAAATACAGAAACAAAAGTGAAAAGCTATTCATAAAGAGTGCACAGCAAATATCTGTAAGAACAACTTATGAATAACTAATTGAAACCATCAGAGTGAATGTTTACATTTTCTGCAGGAAAATCTACACTGGAATTATGAACCACTCTCTTTCAGGCCAAGATCAGCTGGAACAGATATCCTAGGAGCAGGAACCAGTCTTCTGAAGAAGTCTGCTCTTGATTAACAGATTCTCTAGCTTAAGAAATTTCTGGGATCATTTCCAGGAGCACATATATAATTTACAGGGACTGCCTGCTCACTGCCAACAATGACTCCATTCTCCCAACCTCTATAATAAACACAGGAGACGCCAATTTGAGGGAGAAAAAGGCCATCTCCAATTTTCTACCAACGAAAGTCAATCCAGATTCATCTGCATGAAACAAGCCTGTACCCAGCTTACACAGTTTAAACATGAACTGAAATCTAGAATTCTGACCCTTTGTTAGTATAGAAAATTAAGTCTATCTTATAAAAAAAATAATTGGCCTAAGACTAGTGGTTCCCTTTCAAACTGAATAATCTAGTGGATTTTATCACTTACTAGTTCAAGGCACACTGTGCTTGGTACTGAGAAATAAGGAAATAAATGAGATATGCTCTGGTCCTCAGGGAGTTCAGAAGCTGGTGTGTGCATCTGAGAGTGTACATATGGATTATTTAGGAAGAGAGGGCGGTGTGGATATTACACAGAATTCAGCCCAACTGGCAATACAGAAGTAGAAACACAGCATTAAGAAGCACAGAGAGACCTCAGTGCATTTGGAAAACAGCAGCCCAGAAGAGGAGCTTGTGAGACAGGCTTTAAGAGACAGAAACATTTCAGCAGGCAGCGTCCAGGACCATCACGCATCAGAGAGAACAGAGGCAAAGGAGTTAAGAGAAAAACTGACAGAGTTGGAGAGGACCTTCAAGAAATCTGAGTGGGGATGGGGGGGAGAAAAGAGTATTTATTTTGTAAGAACTTCAAAAACAATTCAGACTGGTTTACTGGATTTCAACTGCTCAACAATTTCAATATCTCACCCTATATGCAAATTTCCAGATAAGCCAGAAGAGAAAGGATAGCATGACAACAGCCTAATGGTTAAAACGGTCCATTCACCAGGGGCCTCAGTGACCACCGGACAGTCCAGCACCCCTGCTGGGAGCTGGGCAGCGGAAACTAGGCTGCCTGTCCCAGTGTCCTGGCTGCCACGTGATGTCGCGGCATTCATTTTCAGTACCGGAAAAAAGCTGGTAAGTTCAGGCACCAACGGGACAGCAGCTGGTAAAGGGTTCAATGTCATGTGGGAAATCAATACCCACTAAGGGGCTGCCTAGTTCCAGCCAGTACAAGTATCAGAGACCACAGGGAAAGAGCTAAATATTAAAACATTCAATATGTTCTTTTTAACGAGAATATTTTCACGACTGACACTTATCACAGTCATTTTTGCAAGAAGAATGCTCAACACTTGCCCTGGCCGGGTGGCTCAGTCTGTTACAGCATCATCCCGATGCGCCAAGGTTGCGGGTTCGATCTCCAGGCAGGGCACATATAGAGATTAATCAGTGAATGCATGAATAAGGGGAGCAACGAATCCAACTCCTTTCCCCCCTTCCCCCCTCATCTCCCTCTCTCTAAAATCCATAAATAAAAATTTTTTAGAAAGAATGCTCAACACTTGTCAAGTTAAACATAGATCTAAGCAGGGCTACAAAATGCATCCTGTTTTCTCAGCCACTGTGACACTTTTAATAATGTTACTTGGCATGAAATTATGATGAATAAACTGTAGTTATACATTGCTCAGCACCATTTCACAGAATAAGCCGAGGGACGTGGCACAAAGGAAAGAATTGGGGACCTGGGGCCAAACTCCGAGGTGTGAGAGGGAGCAGCCGCTGCTGACGAGCCTGCTCTTCAACACAGGAAGCATCCAGGTGCCACCCCTGGCCTCCAGGTTTCCATTTCCCATCTGTGCAAAGGATATGGCAGCCATAACCGTGCACGCTCTCATTGTGACAGTCAGGTGAGACCGTGCTTGTCACCAGACTCTACACGAGAAAGTGCTGCACAGATTACACTGACCGCCTTCTACTGATTTCCTAGCCCTAATGTCTCTGTTTCTCTCCTTCCCTCATTCCACACAATCTGATCTATCAACATAGCTTTAAGTCCCCAATGCACGTCCCATGCCCCGTTTTCCCACCACCCTTGCTTCTGGTCTGAAACCCATCACTCAGCAGGCACTGTCCCACTGGTCTCTGCTGCTCTCCTGCTCTCTCAAACTCTCCAGTCCATGTGACAGCCACAGCAATCCTCCAAATATCTAAACCCATGGCATCGCTCGCCTCTCCCAGTGGCCTCCCTTCACTCCAGGGAAAGACCTCACCTCCTGACCCTGGTGGGCAGACCCCCCGTGGCCTGGTCCCCATGAGATCTCCTAGGCCATCACCAGTCCCCGCAGCTACCTGCCTCCTGGCTGCTCCCTGAACACTCTGTAGGCACATTCCTAACCGGGGGCCCATGAATCACATGGTTCCTCCTTCCAGAATGTCCAAGAACTAAGTACTGCTCACTCCCTCATTTCATTCCCTCTGCTCAAATGTCACCCTCAGGAAGGCCGCCCCCCCACCCCCTGTGATGGGGAGTCCCAGCCTCATCAGCTCTGCCCTATTTCTCTGCTTCTCTTGTAGCTCTAGTTCTGCATTCGCATCAAAGTTTACTTGTTTACCTGTCCACTGGACTATAAGCATCACAGGCAAGGACTGCTCCAACCTTATGAACAATCATCTCTCACTCATCTCGAAGAGTAGGGGAGCAATTAAAAATCTGCCTAATGAGTGGCAACGACATCTTTCATGTCCACTTCCATTCACCTGCTCCTCAGAAAACATCAGCGTGGCCATAAATACCCTCAAGGCCCATAAATAACCTCAAGGCCCATAAATAACCACAATGCTCATAAATAACCTCAGCGCCTGGAGCAAACCGACCCTACACACAGCCTCAAAGGCTTGAACGCACCTTGGAATTTGAGGTGGACTCCAGGAAGCAGAGCCTGTTGCCGAATCCTTCCGCAGCCAAGCAGAGTTTCCGTGGCTCCTTGTGGGCAGCGGCCGTGCACTGCAGCACCACCTGGTCGTCCTGCGGGAACAGGGGGGACACATGAGGCATGGGACTACGTCTGAACCAGACCTGCAAGAATATACTTTAGTGCATTCCAAACACCAAAGAAAAATGTTAAAACAATTGTCAAAACAAACACAAAATTAATTCGTAGAGCACTTTTCCCGGGGGATGGAGGG